TCAAGCTTTTTTTCCTCCTCAATTTTCCAAACGAAATTCTAATTCTGTTCTCTCTTACCAATGTTGGGTCTCATTTGTTTGACGTTGAAAATTACTCTAGTTACTAATTTTTCACTGGACAATTGTTTGAAATATAATGCTTCTAGACAAAGCCACCACAACAGATTTAATTCCTGAAATTTCATAAATCTCTAGGAACAAATGTGATGATTTTTCAAGGGTGCTAAGTGTCCCAAACTCCCATGGAAGACAACAGGAGTAACCAGCACTCAGTATCTCTGAAAAACCAACTATAACATTCGACATCTTTGGGAAGCTCAGGATACCCATTTTTTTTGATGATGCCAAAGATTGATAGCTACCTCTAGGGTTGATAGTGATGGGAATTTGGGAGAGCTTCTCCTGAAAGGTGTTGTGGAAGTGGAAGTGGCAAGACGATAATCAGAATGGCATGAATTGGAAAATCCGGGGAGCTGGAAGCTTTTTTGGCAGAGCCATTTGCATGCAGTGCATGTGGCAACACAAATTCCCTCAAGGTTTTTGAGATCCCAGCCTGGACCTGCAACCAGAAGATGCGTCAGTGTCTCATGAGCCATAGGGAGAGAGCGAGCTTGGCCTACACATGCTTTGAGTGTGCAAGTCACCAGGAGCAGCTCGCTGCCCACAGGCTGGTTTTGGATGTGGTCACGCATAAAGTTAAGATGTGCCTGGACCCAAAGGCGTGGGCAGTTTCCTGCACCTGGTCAACGTCCCTCGGGATGTCGATGTCCTTCTTGCGGCCTGAGGAGTAGCGGGTGTGAATCATCTCCCCTGTGTGTATGCGTTTTTCTCCTTAGAGACCAGCATCTTGTTGGAGATAACCAACAATGCCAGCAATGTCTTGGAGGGCGAGAGCCTGCGCTTTGGCTGCACCGTGCGCTCGAGCTTTGGGCCGCAGAGCCGCCTCTCGGTCGCCTGGCAGCTGGTGGACAAGCAGAACCGGCGCAGCGAAATCGTGCGGCTGGATCGGGACGGCACCCTGCACCCGGGCCCGGCGTATGCCGAGCGCAGCAGCTACGGGGGCGTCCAGATGGAGCAGGTGCGGCCCGGCGCCTTCGCCCTGGAGATCTTCAACAGCATCAAGGCAGACGAGGGCCACTATGAGTGCCGGGTGGCCGAGTGGACGCGGACGCTGGATGGGGAGTGGCAGATGGTTGGGGAGCGGCACGCTGGCACCACGGTGTCTATCACTGCTCTGGGTGAGTATTCGAGGCGTGGGGCCGCAGGGCTGTGCTCCCCGTGCCTCCCAGGCCGCCCGGGTGTCACCTGCGGATCCCTGCTGCGCTGGGTTCTCCCATGATTGCTGGTGAGAAGGAGGCACCCAGCAGCCAGGCCCTGGTCCGCAGCTCCTGGGTAGGTTGGTCCAAAATGAGTGCTTGTGTTGTTGTGTTTGAAGGCCAAATCTGAGGGGCGGTCATAACACAAGCAAGATGGGGGATAGCTAAAAAGAGGGGCAGTGTCTCTGGCATCCTTCCAAGGAGAGAAACCAGCAGACGAGTGGGCAGCATAAGGCTTCCCGACCCAGTGAAAAAGAGCACCATGTCAGCCATGGCGCTGGAGACGGACTGTGGGAAGCTGGGTTGTAGCAATGTTGGCGTTCCTTGGGCACTGCAGCTTCATGTGGACCTTAGGTAAACCTTGCCTCCAGTCGCTAGGCCAGGAGAGTAAAACCTCCGCTCGTGAGACACTGAGAGCACCACAAATTGTGAGCGGCTCCTACAGCATCAGAAGTCCACAGGAGCAGGTGGGGTCCTCAGTGTCTCTGCACAGGAGGCCTTGAGCAGCTGGCCCAAGACTACGCCATAGTCCCTTGACTGAGCTTGAACTAGGAGCCAGAATCCAAAGATCCTCCATTTCAAATACACTAACACCATATTGCTTTAGGAGACCGCAGTTAGGGCATTACAGGCCTTGCATAGCCTGGGAATTGCATGGGTCCAGTTGAGATTGTGCTGTTTGGCTCCGGGACCGGTTCCCAAAGTATTCTGCAGGAGACTGAAGAACGGACAACTGTTCCTGTGAGGCCGCTGACTTGCAGAATGCCAGAGCTATAAACACTTGGTGCGTAGTGTTGAAAAGTTGAGATAGATTTTTTTGGTTCTCCACAGTATTAAGCTTAAGCTTTGGTGAGATGTCTGAGAGACCAGATGTTAAAGTAATATCATATTCTGATTAAAATCTTGCTTTTTCCTCCTTTCCTCCCCTCTGCTTTTGACCTTCTTTCAGAGGCTGCTCTGTCTAGAGCTAGAAATCATTGCTGTACAGCTTCTGAAAGCAGGTAGGAACTTTAGCTTGTAAAAAATTAAAGGAAGTTTCTTGGCTTGTTTGAACAGTGTTTTCCTCTTGAGGTCAGTGGCGTTTAGCCTGTTATAAATCTATGGATCCATTCGCTTTACTCTGCAACTTGTGATGGTTTTTGGGGATAGAACGAGAAGTATAATAGTAAATTAACTGATCAAAATTTAAAATGCATCACTTGCATTTTTAATAAAAGCTAGGATATTAAGAAATTCCCCGCAATTTTAGAAAACGTGACTGAAAGGTAGTTTTACCTCTCCTTCCATTCCTTGTCCCCAGGAAGTCTCTGGCTGTAGAACACATTCTGTCAAGCCCTGAGACGTTTCCTAGGTCCTGTTCCTGTAACAAAGCCTGAAGTAGCTCCATGAAACTTAATGGAGAAAATGTTGATTTTTGTTGTTGTTACTGCTGAATCTCATCGTTTTTGTTCTGCTTAATCTTTGTAAAGTGTTTTGAGAAACTCAAATAGAATGTGCCAAGAAAGAGTAAGGGAAGTTTATTGCTACAGAAAGTGTCAGTAAAAATGCAGTAAATTTAAGTGACAGTCACATTTCAAGTTAAGATCTAATCATTTGCCAGTCTGCCAGGGTAAAAAACTCTTTAGCTGAACCAGCACAGATTATTTTAGAACCCGTAAATCTTCCTACACTGTGGTTCTGAAGCAAGAGCCAGAAGAGAGATTGGCTGTCAGATGAAACCAGATGGCCCTGAACTTCTGGAAACTCCAGTGTAGAGCAGGAGTTTGAGTCTGTGGATAGTTGGGAAGGAAGTGGGGCAGATGCTGCAGTCTGTAGAGGTGAGGCCAAGTGGATGAGGGGATTCTGATGCGTTGTACGTGAAAACAGGCCTGTTTCCACGCATGGCTTCCCTGCCTTCTTACCAAGTGCCTCAGGAAGAAGGGCTTTTATATGTTAACCCAAATGCCATGAGTTTACTGAGTTGGGGACCTGAGGAAGAGATTTGTTTTTTGCAGGGCAGTCAAGAGAAGTACTTTCCATTTAACCCAGGCTAACTGGAGATAAGGCTCTACAAGATCAGCTGGTCTTGAAATAAAATCAGTCTTCTAGGGCCAGAAATCTCTGCTGTGCTGGGCCTCCCCACACACTTGCCTGGCCAGAGCTGCTGCAGAACCATATGTGACCACTGGCATGGGGATGAGATGCAGCAGTCATCCAGTGGCTCAGCCCTCCTGAGCCTCGTTTTCCTCTCCTTGGAACTTCCAAGAGGCTTTAATCCCAAAGATTGACCTGTTTTCTCTGTAGTTACACAAGCCAGAGCTCTGCCATGGTGACATGCTTGGGTGACGAGGACAGCAGAGGCACTTGCTGAAGCACGCTGGTACCGTGGTGTCTGCGCTGTGGCCAGCTGGGCCTGGTAGCAGTGACCCCGCAGGTTGCAGCTGAACTCCCAGCCCAGCTCCTGGGACTGGAGAGCCCTCTCAGACTGTAATTTTGAGCTGTGGTAGACTGAAGCTCCATGATGATCTGGAAAACGTTTCTGTTTCAGCTGGGTGCTGCCTGGGAGCTTCACCCTCAGAGCTGCAAGGAAGGTTCTACCACATGCCTGAAATGTCAGCACTTCAGGGAGGAGAGCTTGCAGCCTGCCTGAGATACCCAGTGGAGACTTCCAGGAGTAAACCTTTCTTGCTGATGGGAAAACTAAGTCCCTGCTAAATTAGTAGGCTGCATTTAAGTAAGCAGGAAAAAAAAAGGGTTATTTTTCTGCAGTGTAAATGAATGATGGAAATTCCCATACCCAAAATGAAATTCTTCTGACCCAAAAACCTAAGATATTCAGCTTGGAATATGTTGTCTTCAAATTATTAGTAGGCTACTGGTTTTAAAATCCCCTAATCCATCAGATAAAAATGGCAATATTGAGGGCAAATGTATTGACTAGCTTGTGGAGTTGTGCATACATGAGGATAGCTGTGTAAAGCTGTAATTTAGAAGACAAAAAAAAAGTGCCTTGTGAAGAACAGAATCCAGTGACCAGCTTCCCTCTTACATCCCTCCCTCCTGGGGTTTCCTAACCACTGTCAGCTCTCCACAGTGTGAAAGCAAGGTCTGCCTGCTTTGCCCACCATTTGCCTGTGAGCACCCATAGGCACTGAGTGGGGAATAGGGAAGGATTCCTTGGTCGAGACATGGCTGTGAATCAGTGGCTGCCAGTGGTCAGTGTTGTTCCCTTCACAGTCAGATCTTACCCCGGGCAGATTCTGCGCCCGTTGCTGCTCCACCGCAGACTGAACAGGCTGCTGAGCCCAACTTCTGCAGCACTTGGACAATACGCACAAGTTCTGAGCTGGGCTGCTCTCGCTCTGGGTTGCAGGCAGTCTTTCTCTTCCTTGTAGAAACCGAGCATGTCCCTGTTGCCCGTGCAACAAGTGTTCACTCAGACTGTCACTACTGTGCAAGCAATTAAGTATGATTTTTCCATTACTGCTCGTGCCACTTTGCAGTTGCAAAAGGGAGAAGCAAGCACAACCCAAGCAGCTGATTATTCCAGGCCCATAATAAGCAGGCTCTACCTTTCGCATGTGAACAGCGAAGAGCAGGGCCTTGTTGGGCAGGTGTCTCTCAAAGCTCCTTTCTGTCTTTCTGCAGAGGCTGGCTTTGCTGTCACAGCCATTTCCCGCACGCCCGGCGTGACCTACAACGAGTCGTTCGACCTGCAGTGCATCATCAAGCCGCACTACCCGTCGTGGGTGCCCGTGTCGGTGACGTGGCGCTTCCAGCCAGCGGGCAGCACCGAGTTCCACGACCTGGTCACCTTCACGCGCGACGGCGGGGTGCAGTGGGGCGACAGGTACGCCGGCTTCCGGACACGCACGGCCATCGAGAAGGCCGAGTCCAGCAACAACGTGCGCCTCAGCATCAGCCGCGCGAGCGACACGGAGGCTGGCAAGTACCAGTGCGTGGCCGAGCTCTGGAGGAAGAACTACAACAGCAGCTGGACGCGGCTGGCGGACAGGGCCTCCAACCTGCTGGAAATCAGGGTCCTGCGGCCAGGTAGGTGCCCAAGGAGGGCCAGGACCTTCTAGACGGTTTTTTGGTTGTGCCTACTTTTCTGCAAGAATGGTGCAAAGGCCCATGGTGAGGGTAGCTGTGGGCCCCAGTTGCCCTGAGTGGTTTATTGCTGTCTCAGGTTTCAGGCTGGAATAGACATATGTTCTGAATGAAGCTCTTGGCACCATTGAGACCCGTCGGTTCCTTGCAGCACTGTCAGTTTTCCACTCATCTGTTTCTGTGTGCTGAGACTTTTTCTTGGTGTCTGCCTGTTGTTTTTTAATGTGTGTGTTTTCTTTTCCTTCTCAGTAGCCCTTTTCATCCCCTTGTCCACCTTTCCCCAGCCCTTACTGTGTCTGGATGAATCAGGGGATGTTCTGAGGTCCTTGCTCCTCATGATCTCACCCCACCCTCTCTCTTCCCTCCCTCCGTCCTTGCGCTCATCTCCAGGTTAATCTTTTCCATTTGTCTTGATTATCCTGACTTGTAGTACATCTCTGAGTGCTCCCAAGGTCAGGCTGGTGATGTTCATCATTTTAGCTTATTTCCCTAGGAAACAGTGTTGATTGGAGAAGGTCCCTGAAGTAATAAACTTCTTCATGATGCATCTCTATGCATGCTTATGTGTGTGTGAGAAAGAGGGAGAGAGAATGAGAAATCCTTGGTAATACCTTCCAGAGGAGACCCTCTGTGTCACGGCTCGCAGGAGGCGACCAGTTCTTCCTTGCTGCAACAACAGCTATTAAGTGGTGCTTTAATGAAACAAGTGGTCTAGATCTGTGCATTTTTATACCTCTCCCTGCTGCTCAGCAAACTACCCCTATGCAAATCTTAGCTCTCCGTCTCATGAGCCTTGCAGTGTTGGTGGTTTTGTGACCTACAAGGAGAGGGAGGGCAGGAGGGGGACTCCTTCCCTCTTCCCTCCTCTGGACGTCTCCACGATGCTCTCTGGGCTTATCATTCCCATGCCCCATTCGCATTCCAGCCAGATGGGGTGGCTGGAAGCTCTCTGTGCACTGCTGTGGGTGGTGTGGGTGTCTGCTGTGGTTCTCTCCGCTTTTGCAAGCTACCAAGGGCCATGCTTTTGTTGGGTCTTTGTGCGGTAATGTCCAGAGAGAATCCCCGATGACGTGGGAGGCACCTTCCTTAGTCCCCTCTGGGTGAATATCCTAGTGTTCTGGGAGCTGGACTTGGGCTGCTGAAGCAGATCCTGGTTCTCAGAATAATGTGCCGGGATTTTTCCTAAGGGAGTCTATTCAGGAGCCCTGAACAGCTGAGTACGTGAGAGCGCCATCAGTCTAAGCCTGTGTCTCCCCATAATCACATTAATTTTAGCCTGCCATTGCATGACTTAGTCCCATCTTCCTCCTTTTCCTTTGCCCCTTGCCACAGGTTTCTGCCTCAGGACTATGTGTCTGTGGGTTTGGGGTGAACTGTCTCTGCTACCACTTTTTGAGGAATATCATAAGGGAGGCTTGCCTGGAGGTCTTCTGGCAAAATGAGGTAGCATGTGTTTTCAGATTGTAAGTTAATGTTGAGATTCTAGTTTTCTCTTAAAACTCTGCTCCCTATTTGTCAGAGTGACGTTTATATTTGACAGATTCCACATGCAGGTGTGGCAATCAATATATGTCAGCCTTTAAAGACATCAAGCTTAGAAGTCTTAAAGAAAGGCCAAATTGTGGCTAGCTATTGCTTCAGTCATCTCTTTGCTTTGTGAAATCCCACATGCTCAAAAGACTGGGTGCTGGATTTTCTCTTGGTGCTTCCATTTGCTATTGCAATACATAGGCTGTCTCTTCTCAGCCTTTCTGCAGTGGGCTATAGAAATACTTGTAGATGTCATGCATGCCGTGTGATAACTGCAGAAGTGACAGCACTAGGTTTGCACCTGTTAATGTATTAATGTGGCTGCAGTTTTACGGGTCGCACTCTCAAGTGGCCAGCAGGTAATGGTGAGGAGGCTTTGGCAGTTTAAAACACTTAACTCCTTTCTTACTCCCAGGAAGAAACTATCTGAGAAACAAAACAACATGGGTCTCCTGAAGGAGGAAGTGAATAAGAAGGCATTAACACAACCCTCAAGTGAACCTCTGTAGGTGGGAAGACAGGAGAGTCCTCCTAGCTTCATTACATTAGCTAGTTTTGACATTTGGATGTGACCGTGACCTGTCCTCTTGGGCACTAGGCCATTGTAAGGACTGGCTGTTTGAAAAACAGTGCTATAAAGGATACTGGATGTGTGTGAGGGAGCCTGCAGAGAGGATCTAGGTGTCCCTAAGGAATGCTGTTCATCGTCGCTGGTGTGTGCAGGCTCACCAGCAGCAGCAGTAGTGCATGACGCCCCAGTATTTCCTCGTTCATAGAGGGGAGGTTACGCACAGGTACAGGCAGGTTCCCGGGTGAACTTGCGTGCGCTTTGGAGAGAGAGTTTGCGCTGCTGCAGGGTGAGTGATTTTATGTGGACTCAAGTTGGAATACAGGTTGGTTCAGGGGGCTTTCTGGATGTATTATGGACCAGACTGGCCACTGTTTAGTGTCTTTTGTGTTGCAGTACTCTCTTTCTACTTCCAGCTCTTGGAACTGCCCGTCGTTTCATTCTCGGTGAGCTCGTGTTGCAGCACAAGGCAAGAAATAATAAAAGTGAGGTGCAGTTCATGCCAGCTGCTTCCCCAAAGCCCAGGCTGGCAGGAGCACTGCGCACGGCAGCGTGGGCTGAGCTTGGAATGAGCCCCAAATGCACGTGTGAAGATGCTTTTCCACTTCTCTCCTTTTGTTTGGGCTTCCCTTTGATACAGACCTGCCTGTGAAACCATACTTCTGCTTCAAAATCTGGGTGTTCCCCTGGAGATTCATCACCCGTTTCCCTTACAGAGCTATTCCCTTTCCCTTCAAACACTTGTTGCCTTTGCCTTTCCTGTCTGGACCAGAAGGTGCTCCACACAAGTGTTACAGAGCTGATTGATTGGCATGTGAGCAGCCAGGGCGCATGGCCCCTCAGAGGGGACAGACATGGCATGTGAGCACCCAGGGCATGGCCCCTCAGAGGGGACAGACATGGTAACTCCCTGATGCTCACCCATCTCTTTGGCTTTAGAGGAAAAAGAGGTTCCAGAGTTTTCTTTTGAATCCAGGTGATACTGAAAGCATTTGGATTAGTAGCTCAGGCCGAGTTGCTGCTCTGATCATACCAGCTAAGCCTATCTGCATGTGTAGGATAGCAGCCTTCTCCTGCTCCCTCCCCTGATCCTTGTGTGCTCCTGAGGGAGGAAATATGCAACCGCTCCGTGTCCTCCCTGGACAGCGATACTGTAGGTTTAGATGGGACAAGATGAGACCCAAGGGCTGGCAGCCTTCATTTGCTCGTGACTCCTCCTTGAGTCTTGGCCTCTCTGCCAGGTTTTCCGGGAAGGAGCTGTGGAGACAGGGCATGCTGTGCGTGAGCAGCGTGTGTCCGCGCCAGGGCTGCGGCACTCAGACAAGGGCAGCAGACGGTCTCTGGCGGCCCAGGACGTGATGGGAACTGTGCTGCAGCCTGGGCAGGCGAGGCCGCCTGAATTCGGCTCTGCTGGCAGGGTCTGAGCAGCGTTGTGCTGGTGTGTTGCATTGCCGATGTCCTCGCGTGCGTTACTGTGCTTATCTTGCCCCTGCAGCGCGAGCGTGAGGTGATTCAGCGGCGCTGTGAGAGATCTGAGTGCTCAGAAGTCCTTCTGGCAGGAGCTGAATAGAAAAGGAGGGCATTCTCAGGCAGGAGCATGTGACAACTCCTACCCGGCCTCCCTCTGCCCACTCCTCATTCTCTGGGGCAGACTTGCGCACTTGGCAGCATCTGCTTGGTGTGGTAGAGAGCAACCTGGTGAGTGGGTGCCCGAGGCAGGCTTGTTCACTCGGAGGGCAGTTCTCTCCCTCTGGAGCATGGGGCTGGGAAGCACGGGCATCTGCAAGACCCAAGGTACCAGGAGCGTGCACAGCCGGGCACGTCCCTCCCCACTGTGGCCCTCAGAGGGAACATCTCACCGGGTGCGAGCCTTCAGCCTCTGAAAAACGGGCAGCAGCGCCTGTGCCCGTGAACTGATTTTCCTTCCAATCTTCCTCCTCTCTTGCCCTTCCCATCCTTCCCTCCTTGCGTCATTCTTCAGCCGCTTCTTTCGTGACTAATCCTGAGGCAGGCACATGGGGAGAAGCTGCAATCGCCTCTATAAATTTACCCTCTTGCTACTGGGTTTTTGACAGTAATGAACGTGGGAGGAGGAACAGGGAGGGGTGGAGGGGGATGATAACAGAACAGACGCCAGGAGTCCTGGGCTCCTCGCTGCTTTTTTGCAAGCCAGCCTATGGCAGATTGATTGACCTGGGAGCCGTCGAGCAAACAAGACAGTCAGGCTCTTCATTAGAGCATTAATTAGCTTCCAGAGGCTCTCCGGGGACTGCTTCGTAAAATTTGGTTTATTAGGAGATGTCAAGTTGAAACTGTTATTGTGGAGAGGGAGGGTAGAGGCTCCTCAGATGGCCTCAGAGAAGGGGGAAACTTCCATCTGAATACTGCCTTGAGAGAAGGGTGAGCCAGAGCTTTGTTTTCCCCAAAATCCCACAGTCAGGTGGATACAGAGCTCTCCGTCCCTCTCCCGCTGGCTGCAAGGTGAATCTGGCAGGTGATGTTTCAGCAGCTGCTGCTGAAGTGGCTGAGGGTGGCCATGCAGGCCAGGGATGCTGCGAGGTGGAGAGAAGATGAGGCTGAGGATGGAGGATATGGAAAATATGCTCTGTATGATGTGCTTAATGTTGGGAGGGGAGAATTGGTTATGAGGCAATTGCCAAGACACTTGCAGACAGCCTTAACCTAACAAGTGAAATCAAATATTACCGTTATTGCCTTTCTCCCTTCTTAGTTTTTAGTAACTTGGTCTGGGAGAAATCCTCTCGTGGAGCAATGTGAAAGATGCCTTTTCTACCATGGGTGGTCAGTGGAGTGCCAGGATCTCCCAGACTCTCGAAGGCTGATC